AGGGAGAGACAAAGAGAGAGGGAGGGAGAGAGAGGGAGAGAGAGAGACAAAGAGACGGAGAGAGAGAGAGGGAGAGAGAGAGACAAAGAGAGGGAGGGAGAGAGAGAGGGAGAGAGAGCGTGGGAGTGAGGGAGAGAGAGGGAGACAGACGAAGAGAGAAGGAGAGAGAGAGAGACGAAGAGAGAGGGAGAGAGGGAAAGAGGGAGAGAAGGGGGCTTTAGGCCCCTGAGTCTTGTCTGGTGATAAAGCAGCTGTTGGCAGCCCAGCTTCCTTCCCCTTGGAGAATACAACAGCAGTGTTTACCGTGCTGCAGACTTAGCTGGCTGCAGCCCAATGTGCTCTGGATTCAGAGAGCGGATTCAGTTCTAGGCAGGACAGACACCAAAAGCTTTTGGGCGCAGCACCACACCGCTGTGCTACAGCTGGGGGATTCAGAGGCAAGGGTGGGGGGAGGCTTCCCTGCGAGTGCACGAAAGGAGGAGCAGAAAGCCAGGCTGGGAAAACGCACAATACCCACCCAGGAGAAGGAAAGTTGGAACTGAGGAGGGGGGAAGAGGAAGGGGGAGGGGGGGAAAGGAGCACTGGGGGGGATTTCATGCCAAATATTTTCAACCTCCTCTCCGAATGCTCGCTGGAGTGGAAAATTTTCCAAGCGGCTCTGCAGCCCAGCCAGGGCCTGCTGGAGCCCCTGGGCAAAAGCGCTGTGGGATGCCAATGCATCTGTAATTCTCCCATGTTTCGCTCCCGCGGCTAAAGGATGGGCCTCCTGCGCCCGGCTTCTCCCCTTCTGAGACCCTCCTGCCCAACGGGGGCAAGAGGGGTGGACTCGATCCGGGCGAATGTTCGGGAAGTCACCTGTGGCTGCCTTGAAGGGCTGTTGGCCAAAGCAGCGGCAGCGAGAGGGAGGCGAAGGGGCAGGCGAATGGGGGTGCCTGCTGTTGCTGCCGCTCGTTCCACCCTCTGCTCCGTGGGAAGCCAGGAGCAGCAAGATTGATGCTCGGCCACAAATCACGGGAGGGAAAGGCTGGGTTTTCTTCTCCCCGTGACAGGCAGGGAGGACGAGCCAGGCCTTCAAATGGGGGGACAAGGGCTCTTGGTCTTTACTGCTGGAGCTTTCCAAGGCTTTGCTCAGCTCCCCTTCCTGCTCTGCCCCAGGCTGCATTTGAGGGGAAGGGGTTGTGTGGCTGGTGTGTGTGTGTGTGTGTGTGTGTGTGTGTGTGTGTGTGTGTGTAAGAAGCAGGGAGCAGGAGGCTGGACAGGAGCCAGGGAG